GCTGCTGTTCTCACACAGTGCGCTTTAGTCAAGCATGGGCAAGGACCCTTCCTGAACCTCCCACGGTGACAGATGAGACCTGGCTTATACATTTAATAAGATATCTTTAGAAGAAAATGACAGAAACCCCAATCAAAACTGACTTCAGCCAAAAAGAGAGAGTTCTTTGGTTCACAAAGCTGCAAAAGTACAGGCATGTTCTTAGTTTGGGCATGGCTGGATTCAGAGGCTCCGGTCTTCAGTCTGAAGTCATGGCTGCCTGTCTTCAGGATTCAAGCTCTTTCTTGGCTCTGTTTTGCTCTGTGAACTTTATCCTCCAAGTGGTTGCCCTCGGAAGCTCTAGGCTTATTCCTTCCAGAGGTAAGAGGATGACTCTCCCTGATAGTCCTAGCAAGACCTAAGCCTGGCTCTGATTGGCCCAGTTGGGGTCACATGCTCAGCCATGAACCAATCACCATGGCCAGCGGTGCACAGTCCTCTCATTGGTCAGCTCTGCATCTCTTGGGCACCCACGAAGCCATGGGATGGGGCCAGCCGTGTCTGAAACCCATGGGACGAGTGGGGAATCCAATCTCCCCCAGGAAAAGTGAAGGTGCTGTTACCAAAAAAGGGTGAGTTGAACATCAGGAGGGCAAAAACAAACGTCCACTACTCTTGAGAATAACAGGAAAGAATTGCAATACAGAAATTCTTTCAAATTGAATTCTAGATAGGACTGCTTTCAGAATTTGTAAGGCACGGACCATTCAACAGGGTCCCTACTCGCCCACGAGGCCCGGAGAAAGGGCAGTTTCTCCATGCCATCTCCCACACCAAGGACCACTTCCCTGTCCTGGGATTATTTGATCTCCTCAAGATCTTTTATGGTGGGAATATCCACTCCCTCTGGGAAAAATTCCCAATTCCTGCCAACAGTGCCCTCTGGCCATAGGATTTCAACAAGACATTCACATCAAAACACAGTAGTTCAGCACGTATCTGACTTCCCAGCACCTGGCTTATTCAGTCCGGAATAACATCATGAATGGGACACCAAGACTTCAGGCCACGTGGCGTTTAGCCTGGCCAAACCCAGTTCCTTTTCTCCAGATGAAGGTTGGGCTTATGTGTCTTTCCTATAGTCCTGGAGACTTCTCTATATCTCCTGTAAAGAGCTACATGAAAAAGAAGCCATATCATCCTAATGTCAGAGGCGTTTGAACCAGAGCAACTCCATCTTGAATAGGAGCTGGATAAAATGAGGCTGAGACCCACGACATTCTATATTACAGGATGAGATTGGAGGTTGGCACAAGATACAGGTGATAAGGACCTTGCTGATAAAACAGGTTGCAGGAAAGAAGCTGGCCAAAACCCAGATGGTCACAAGAGTAACCTCTGGTCATCCTTACTGCTACACTCCCACCAGTGCCATGACAGTTTACAAATGCCATGGCAACATCAGGAAGTTACCCTATATGATCTCAAAGGGGGAGGCACGAATAATTGTCCCCTGGTTTAGCATGTAATCAAGAAATAACCGCAAAGATGGGCAACTAGCAGCCTTTGAGGCTGCTCTGTCTGTGGAGTAGCCATTCTTGTATTCCTTTACTTAATAAACTTGCTTTCACTTTATGAACTCGCCCTGAATTCTTTCTTGCACGAGATCCAAGAACCCTCTCTTGGGGTCTGGATCTGGACCCCTGTCCAGTAAGATCAGCCCATAACTTATTGATCTGGAATTGTGAGCGTGAGATGGTTTGGAGGGATAATTCATCTGAAGCACTTAGCATCAGAGAGCTCAAGAAACAGTAGATATCAGTTTTTTAAATTACAATACAAATACTCCAGGCAGGGGCTGTTACTGCTCTGGCAGAGACAGACGCATCCAATGCTGAAGGAGGAAGCAGGAAGCCCGCTGTTAGGAGAATGGTCTCTTAGCCAGAATGGAAGGGACAGGGGGAGGGGAAGAAGCTCTCCCAGGATGGGCAAGAGAAAGATGGAGAGCAGCAGCTGTTCAGTTGCTCCTTGAAGGACCCCACCCTGACAGCCTGAAGGCAGCTGTTGTCAGCCCCCAGGAGGCCTACAGACCAGAGCCCAGAATAGACACTGGGCTGCTTGGGGCAGTCTAATCCCACGGAGGGTTTTAACCCTAATGTTGCAGAGCCCATGTGCCTTTCCACCTTGCCACTGCCATCCATACAACAATCAACACAGAAGGAAAGGGTCAAAAGTCGCTTTTGGAGCTTTGCATTTGCACATGGGTGTTTCTAAGCCAGGTGCTAATGCCTGGAGGGCTGCCAAAACCTTGTTTGTGAAATTATTTTCTAGACCCTTTAAATTCATCAGTATAGACATAGTGACGATAAACATTTTTATAGTAGACTTTCACACAAGACAAAGATCAAAGGCATGTGTAATTGATGATAAAAGGAAGTGATAAAAAGAGTCACTCTCAGGTATATCTTGGTGTTGATTTTATTTTTAATAACTCAGCTATGAGACTCTGACTTTGTGCATATACTTAGAGCTGACGTTGGAAGCCTCCAGCTGTGTCACAGTTAGAGGTTTTTCATGCCCAAAGCACCACCAACCATACAAGCCATGCTGGCGCTCATTCTGTTGTTCCATCCCTTTTCCGAAGGCTTAGTTTTGCAGAAGTCGTCCTGAGAGTCCTTGGCACTATGCTTATAATTTGGATTTTGAACACCACGTGAACTCTGGCACCTGGTCGTGGGGTCCAGTATCCACAGCCCCCAGTGGGAATTACGGCATTTCTCTTTTGTGTCTTACAATACCAAATAATTGGGCTTTTTCTGTGAAAATAAACTGCTTTTAATACATGTATTATTAAACCAATAAAGCATTAAGATTTACTAATTACTAATTTAAGCAAAGTAAAACCTATTTCAGAGTAAGGGAAAAGCATGCAGAAACACACATTGTTATGAACTGTTGATAAACAAAGCTTAATATAATCCTGGTTTTCCCCACTCTATCTTAAAGGAAAATCTCAAACTCTTGCTTTCATAAACAAAACTTGGTAATTAGAAAGAGTCCAGGTTTTTATAATGATCGCATTCCTTAAAATTGAACTACAGTTTTCACTTTTCTTAAAGGGAAAAATATTCAAAACTTTCTCACAGAGAGAAAGCATTGATTTTCCTCTCTGAGTTCCTCCCATGAACTGTCTCGATCGCTGCCAACTCAGTTCCTTCTGTATTCTGTGCACGTGGAATACACTGTTTTCTGCTTAAAGAGTTATTTCCAACCCCCATCCCCAGCCACACCTCAGTTCCATGAGTGTTCATGGCTCAATGACCTAGGCACCCCAAGCATTCGCCATAAATAAGGCTGTTTACTGACCTATTTTTACTAGGACTACTGAGATATGCTGAAACCTGGTGGGGGTTGGAGTCAGGGCGGGGATTGAAGTTACACTTCTCTCTAGCACCGTCAGTCATTGTTCAGATATTTAAATTTCACAAACAGAATCAATGGCCTGCTGGGGGCATTGTCACTTACACCGAGCAGGGCCATCTGTCGCAGCACTGGCATTTTAAGGCATTTTAGATGACAGCGTTGCGGGATCTCTTTCTTTGTTCGTGGATTTCAGGATGAAGTCCTCCAGTGGGGCTTCATGACTGACCAAGGTTTGAAATTGATAATGTCCCCAGTTGGGGACTTGCTGATTAGGCTGCGTTCACAGCAATTAGAAGATCATCTGGTGTAAAACCTGTCCGGAGAGAGAGGGGCACAGAATCCCTGAGCTCAGATCGAGCAGTGGAAGAGAAAGCCGGATCTCTGTTCTAGAGGCAGAGTTTTCCACTCTTCCCTAAGGGGTCGTCTCAGCAGCCCACCTCTCAGCTACAACATGGGGAAATCTCACTGCAGATGTGCTAATCACAGAATTGCACAGGTACTCCCTGAATCCAACTTGGGTTATTAAAACAACAATGAGGCGTATGCGTTTGGCTCTGTTCACCCCCAGGGTGACCAGCTGTCTCACTCCTCAGCCCAAATCCAGGGGATTCATTGTCTAGGAATACTTTCTTCTACCTTGGGAATTCTCTGATTTACTCTTACCTAGGGCCACTGGTCTTGACCAAAATGTGAGGTGTCCCTAACTTAAGATTTTGACTTTTAAGAGGCAGTCGAGGAAATAATGTTATGAGGTTTGTTTATTCCTCTAGGGGTCAAAGACAGAGAAGTAAAAAGGCAAAGCTGGAGTCCTAATGTATGGCTGCAGGTTCAAGATTCCAGGCCAAGTTCTTGGAACTCCAGCGCCTCTAGACTCACCAGCCCCACCAGCTCGTCCATCCTCACCAGCCCCTCCAACCCCACCAGCCCCACAAGCCCCACCAGCCCCTCCGGCCCCTCCAGCTCTGCTGCAGGAATCCTGCCTCAGGGAATCATGATCCACCACCCAAGGAAGTATTTGCAGACAAAAGAGATTCCACTGTTGCCTTCCCCCAAGGGTGGTGTTGAGCCCATTAAGCTTTCCCCAGCAGTACACAGAGTAACCTTCAGGATTCTGGTGGAAAAATATCCCAAATTTTGCTTCCTTATGCTTCACCATATGGCCCTAGGGCACACACACTAATCAAGAACAGCCCAGGGCATCCTGTCACCCCCCACGGTGCACCTGCAAACTGGCTTTTACAGCAACCCTGTCTTCCAAATGGGTCCGTATCTTTCTAGGCATCGTTTGTAATGCTAACCTGTTTGGTACTACCCAGAAATGCTAACATTTCTACCACTTTAATCTAAAGAGATTAAATCACACTCCATGATACTCCTGACAACAAATAGCATTTTAACCAGTAATTTACGATACAAAGATTTTCAATCAGGGGGCTAAGCCCTTCCCTGGTGGTTTTAAGAAACTGCCAGCCTCAATGGAGACTCCTCCATCAATTCCTCATCATTAGAAAAGAAACAACGGAGAAAAAAATCATCCAATTAAGTGGCAATTCCAATGTGTAAATCTTATAATATTTTTGCATTTGTGATATGGGTTCTACACTAAAAACACAACTTGTCTAATCTGAATGAGATTTTTCAGGATGTTATCCTATTTTGTTTGTGCCTCTTGGTTTAGTAAACTCCCAACCACTTTTTCTTCCCTCACCCCCAACTCCCCACACACAAAATGTTTTTCATTATGACCTGAGACATTCATTCTGATTGTAGAGGTTTTAGATCATTTCTTCTAGGTGTTAATCAGTTCTGGCCATATGGTGAGGGTGAGGTAATCATTATTACTTTACAATGAATGCCCTTAATTACATTTTCAGTAGTAATATTAGTCCTTCTGTTTATTTGAGTACCTAAGAGCTGCAGGCAACGTGATCTGAATTACATGGAGGACAAGCTCCAGCTGACTCTCCGTAAACTCGCATTAGGATTCTACTATGCCACGACAGGAGCAGGTGGGGATAATGAGCTGGCAGAAGGGGCTGCCTGTCACACTGCCCGGTGGTCCCTCTTTCACCCCCAGTTTGCCTCAGGCATTTTCTACTTAGCTGTGACCTTATTTGTGGTGACACCAATCCAGTGGTCAGGAGAGAGGCACCCAGCCCACGTCTGAATCCTCCTACTGACCCTGGGGATCCATGCGACTTGATCTTAGATATTGGTGGTGAAGTGTCGCTCTCCTTGACAGCATCCAGGAAAAGGTAATTACCTTTGCCAAAATGCAAGTGGAAGTTCAAAGCCTCAGCCTTGAAGAGTGTCCCTGGGGACTTCCAGGCCCCGAATGTGAATGTGACGCCCTTCTGCCCAGTGGGGCAAGGCGCCGGAGTGACCTTCGCCTGAGTGGGAGGGCAGTCACTGTTTGGGTCACTTTAGGGGTGGTCCAGGTCAATTTAACTTGTCATATGCCACGGGAAGACATAAGGTAAGTTAATGATTCTAAGATGAATCATCTGCTCTTTTAGTCAGTGTCTCTTGAGAATTCATTCACTCCATCCACGAATGTTTTTGACTCTCTAGTATGCGTTACGGAACCGGGCTTAAGGACATTTAAGTAAAGAGAGAGACAGCGATTAATTCACTGCCCCAAAGGAGGCCTGGAATCTTCTTAGGGAAAAGAATCCTCACAAAACACTCCATTGAGTATTCTTGTGTTTAGCCTGAGTCATGTTGACTTGAAAAATTGCAACGTAAAAACTATATATTTTCACACAGTGTAGTAGAAGGAATAGGCTTGTTCTCAGACTATGTCTTGCCCTGGATATGGGTCCACAGGAAGCCTCTATCTTGGTCGCCCTTTGGCATAAGCTTTGCACCTGTTCCCTTCTCTTTGCCTAGATTCTTGCCTCTTCTCTTGCTTTAAAGACCAGGATTTGTTGTTGTTGTTGTTGTTGTTGTTTTAGAGATAGTATCTTGCTCTGTCACCCAGGCTGGAGTGCAGTGTAATATCATAGCTTGCTGCAGCATAAACCTCCTGGCTTCAAGTGATCCTCCCAGAGCAGCCTCCCAAGTGGCTAGGACTACAACCATGTGCCATCACGTTTGGCTAATTTTTTTTTATTTTTTGTAGAAATGGGGTCTTGTCATGTTGCCCAGGCTGGTCTCGAACTCCTGTCCTCAAATGATCCTCCCACTTCAGCCTCCTGAAGTACCACTATGCCCAGCAAGACCTGGATCTTTAACGCTTTGCCTGTCTTTGATCTTTGACACCTCCTGACACCCAAGCCCCTGCCTCCCGCTAGGCAGGCATTTTTGGATAAAGTATGAGCTCCCACTTTGTATTTATCTCCAGCTTTGGGTGTTCAGTTTGATGGGGACCAGCCACAGGTGTCCCCACCTAGTTCTCCAGCCCTAATTTGTTTTCTCCCATGTTGCAGTTCCTGGCTTCTTCCCATTTGCCCACACCCTCATTGTGGCACAGTGCCCCAAACTGACACATGCCACAGGCTCAGAGTATCTTCTGGCTGGTCACTCGAGGGCAGAGAGGATTTCGTGACCTTTCCCTGAGAACAGCTGCATGAACTGCAGGGTCGGCAAAGGGGTCGTGTCTGCCTGCTGCTAAGGTCAGCTGCAGACAGCCCATGTCAGGGAAAGCCCATTTAGCATTAGAAGAGTAAAAAGAAGAAAATACCTCCTCAGCCAGGAGTACTTTGATGTTAACCAATACAATTAGTCTCTGAATGATGAATATAAAGATAATCAATGACGTATATGTGCTTAAAAGAAGGTGAGGAAAGATTATCACTGCCTAAATGTTCCTTTTAAAGGACACCACAAGTGGATGAGTGGAGCATATAGGGTAGATAGGAGTTTTTTTTTTTTTCCCTGAGATGGAGTCAAGCTGTGTTGCCCAGGCTGGAGTACAGTGGTGTGATCTTGGCTCACTGCAACCTCTGCCAACTGGGTTCAAGTGATTCTCCTGTCTCAGCCTCCCAAGTAGCTGGGATTACAGATGCATGCCACCCTGCCCAGCTAATTTTTGTATTTTTAGTAGAGACAGAGTTTCACCATGTTGGCCAGGCTGGTCTCAAACTCCTGATCTCAGGTGACCTGCCCGCCTCGACCTCCCAAAGTGCTGGGATTTCATGTGGGAGTCACTGTGCCCGGCCGGGTAGATATGATTTAAATCTTTTTTTTTTTTTTTTTTTAATTTATTTTGAGATGGAGTTTCGCTCTTGTAACCCAGGCTGAAGTGCAATGGCGTGATCTCAGCTCACTACAACCTCCACCTCCAGAGTTCTAATGATTCTCCTGCCCCACCCTCCCAGGCTGCTGGGATTACAGGCACGCACCACCATGCCCTGGTAATTTGTGTATTTTTAGTAGAGACAGGGTTTCATCATGTTTATCAGGCTGGTCTTAAACTCCTGACCTCAAGTGATCTGCCCACCTCACCTCCCAAAGTCCTGGGATTACAGGCATGAGCTAACATGCCTGACTGATATGATTTAAAGAACACTGAAAGATACAGCAAAGTCTCAAAGTGGTTGTCTATGGATGGCACTGTGGGTTACATATTATTTTTCCAGAGCTCAGAACGTTCTGAATTTCTTTATTTTTGTTATTTATTTATTTATTTTGAGATGGAATCTCACTCTTGTTACCCAGTCTGGAGTGCAATGGCTCATCCTGGCTCACTGCAACCTCCGCCTCCCAGATTCAAGTGATTCTCCTGCCTTAACCTCCCAAGTAGCGGGAATTACAGGCGCCTGCCACCACTCCCGGCTAATTTTTTTGTCTTTTTACTAGAGTCAGGGTTTCACCATGTTGGCCAGGCTGATCTCGAACTCCTGACCTCAAATGATCTGCTTGCCTCGGCCTCCCAAAGTGCTGGGATTACAGGCGTGAGCCACCACAACTGGCCTGAATTTCTTTAGAGAATCTATATTGCCTTCATAAAAACATGCTTTAAAGTTGTTTTTTATTTTAAATGTTAATTTGAAGTTAAAAATGCTTTTCCTCTGACTAGATGTTTAATGCATTTAGGAAAGGCTGAGCATGAAACTAGGGTTGGGGGAAAAAGCCTGTTTAGAGGGGACTGTAAAAACGGAGACTCCCAGCTGGGATTGACAGGAAAGGGTCAGAGCCCAGAGAGATGCCTGCTGGAAAAGAAGTGACATGGTTGAATATTTGCCCTGCTCAGGGTCATGTTGGAATGTGATCCCCAGTGTTGGAGAGGGGGCCTGAGGAGAGGTGATTGGATCACGGGGTGGACTGGTCGTGAATGGTTTAGCGCCATCCCCTTGGTGCTGTCCTTGCGATAGTAAGTGAGTTCTCACGAGATCAGGTTGTTTAAGTGTGCGGCATCTTCTCTCGCTTTCTTGCTCTCACTCTTGCTGTTTGATGTGCTTGCTCCTACTTTGCCTTCCGCCATAAGTTAAAGCTCCCTGAGGCCTCCCCAGAAGCCAGGCAGATGCCTGCTTCCTGTACAGCCTGCAGAACCGTGAGTCAATTAAACCTCTTTTCTTTTCTTTTTTTTTTTTTTTTTTTTTTGAGGCAGTCTTCGCTCTGTCGCCCAGGCTAGAGTGCAGTGGCACGATTCAGCTCGCTGCAAGCTCCGCCTCCTGGGTTCATGCCATTCTCCTGCCTCAGCCTCTCAAGCAGCTGGGACTACAGGTGCCCGCCACCACGCCAGGCTAATTTTTTGTATTTTTTAGTAGAGACGGGGTTTCACCATGTTAGCCAGGATGGTCTTAATCTCCTGACCTCATGATCTGCCTGCCTCGGCTTCCCAAAGCGCTGGGATTACAGGCGTGAGCCACCACGCCCGGCCAACCTCTTTTCTTTATAAATTACCCAGCCTTAGGTATTTACAGCAATGCAAAGAACAGCCTAATGCAAGAAGTAAGAGGAAAGATGATACCAACTTACCAGTAAGGGTACTAAGATGACATCCAAGTAAAATGCAGAACAGTTATCATATCATTTGCTTGGCAGAAGGAGGGTGACAGTTTGTAGGGAGATATAATCCAACCAAATGGTTTAGGGAAATGTGAAACCAAATGGTTTAGGGAAAATAGGATGAAATTCAATATATTTGAATTTGGGAATATATTCAATATATTTCAGTCCAATATATCCTTACAGAGTGAGGTTTGGCATGGTGCCACTGTGGATCATTTGTCTTCTATTCAAAAGAAGGACAATGTCTGTGTTAATGTTATGGTTCAGGAACGCAGCAGCAAGTGCAGCCTGCAGCCTGCACTCCCAGCCACTCCTGCTTACATGAGATAACAGTGAGCCTCAAGACAGCGTCCCCATCTGAGCATGCTTGGCCCTGGGAATCATTAGGGACTCTTAAGAAGCAGAAAGTCCTGACCACCTAACAGTGAGCACCAGCTTTTCACTTAATAGTTTCTGAATATTCACCAGGTCAGGTTTTCTTTTGTTTGTTTGTTTGTTTTGTATTTTTTGAGACAGGCTGGGGTGCGGTGGCACATTCACGTCTCACTGCACCTTGACCTCCTGGGTTCAAGCGATCGATCCTCCTGCTTCAGCCTCCTGAGTAGCTGAGACTGCAGGTGCACACCACCAAGCCCAGCTAATTGTCTTATATATATATATGTATTATTTTATATATATGATATATATATATATATATTATATATTTAGAGACAGGGTCTTGCTATGTTCCCCAGGCTGGTCTCAAACTCCTGGGCTTGGGCAATCCTCCTGCCTTGGCCTCCCAAAGTGCTGGGATTACAGGCATGAGCCACTGTGCCTGGCTGGCTTGCTTCTTTTAACCTAAGCTATTCCTATTTTACCTTGACCTTAAAGCTGATTGGACTTCATTTTACGAGAGGATGCTGTGGCTTACCCAGGTCATAACCATTAAATTTATCACATTAACCAATGTTTAATCATGATCACAGATTACTGAGAATACTGGCAAGAAAGTGAGTAACTACAAAATTACAACAGGTTGTGTGCAATTAAAATTTTTTTTCAAATAGATTTTAGGTTAACATTAAACATTTCAGTTATAATCTCTATTCTGCAGTTGATGCAGAGTTTGAGTTTAAAAAAAGAACTGTCTTCACAGAAACGTGGACTTAAAAATATGTTTTTATATAATAAACTTTATATTTTTAGAGCTATTTTAGGTTCACAGTAAAACTGAGCAGAAAATAGAGACTTCTGATACCTCTTGCCCTCAGACATGCACAACCTCCCTCCCTATCAACCTCCCCCACCAGAGTAGTAGATTTTTTACAACTGATGAACCGACATTGACGTATTATCACCCGAAGTCCATAGTTTAGATTACAGTGGTTTGGACAAATACATAAGGTCATGCATCTACCGTTACAGTCTCATTCACTGCTGTATTAGTCTGTTCTCACACTGCTGATACCCGAGACTGGGCAATTTACAAAAGAAAGAAGTTTAATTGGACTTACAGTTCCACATGGCTAGGGAAGCCTC